CCATACCGTAAAATCGGTAAGGTCCAGGTTCGAGATTTTCCCGTAAAAACATCATTCTCGGTAAATATGTAGTTCATAATGCGGTTACCTCAGTGTTGTAAAATCAGTTAACCATTTGTACGAATAATTCTAATCATTCCGAAGTCTAGCTATCATTCAGTCTGAAACGGATCCACTACATTCCTTGATATGTTATATATTATAAATAACCCGCAAACCTCACCACGCAAGTTAACTTTCATTGATCCCTGACTAGCCAATCCAGTCACTACCGTCCGCTTTACATTCACTCGGTAATAAATTATCCACACAAAAAAAAAAACCTGTATACCAGCTACATGCTTGAATACACTGAACATACAAAATACATTGGAACGGTTCCACAGCCCATCAAAAGCAATGCACACCAGTATGAGGGCATTATGAGATTACGAGAACACCTTAAATTTTGGAAAATTTAAAACTCCCTTTTCTACCTTCCCCTCCAATAAAAAAAGTTGCATCTTGACATGCTTATCACATATCGATAATTAAGAGCGGGTCTCACTGAGCCGTTTTTGAATTATAACCACTATAAAGCTGACAATAAAAAGGGTGTTGTTAACAAGTTGGGGCGTGGCTACGGTAACCTATTTTGCCATGAAGATGAAATGATCACTGATTCGGCAATTGTATCATACCAAAACTGTAACATCACTTGATAAAGAGTGGCAGTAGTAATCCCTCAAACCATAACCACTGGAGCTAATTACTTATGACGGATTACCACAGGAGTAAGGCCTATATCCATGAGGGACCAAGTCTCATGTACGTCAACCTCTCAGGTTACGGTTAGGTTCGATTTAGCTGAATCATCGAGATTTCAAATTCATACCCGGGGATATCACGGAACGAAAGATCAATTGAATTCTTGGTAGACGAGTGTAACGCCACAAATGCTGGCTGACYGATTAAAAAGCTCTCACTCGTGAAATCTACACCTCAAAACGATCAATGAACTTGTTTAGTTCTTCTCGCGGTTTAAGCAGCAACCATAGCTCTCTTAAAATTGTTGCCCATGAAATTGACTAGACGCATGTTACTGTTCACTAAACAACTTTAGCTCATTGTTGTTTCGGATAACATTTTAAAAACTCCACCACTCCCCTACCCTCCCCACATGAACTATTGCAAATAAATTGTCCCCAGTAAGATAACAATAACTTCCTGTGGTACTGAATCGCCATGACAAGCACAGACAAGTCATTCTATTTTTACCACATATCGATTAACTTTAAGATTCAGGTTACACCAGATCGTAAGCGAAATACGGAGCATCACCGCTTTTATATTCAGTAAATCCACAGTGAACTGTTTTCCAACCAGCTCAAAGAGTTAAGTTCAAAGCGTGCACTTCTTTCCCGTAAGTTTCTGCCTGCGGTTGCTGCCATGAAACAGCAAGATAGAGGAGAGAAGCAGGCGAAGAAAAGACAGACAATAACCGACTTGTGTTCTGTGTCAGGTCTGTTGTTGTCTGTTGTGTGTTGTATCGCACTAATTCACGTGGAAATCAGAATACAAGAACATCGTCGACTGATATCACACTCAGTGACATTCTGTGATAAGATGGAGACAGAAATCCTTCGACAAGTTCAAGAAAATTACGGAAGATGGCAAGTTATGGTTAAGGGTCGCCACTGGCAAGCAACCAAAGGTACGTTTCATTAACGTTACTGATGTTTCGATAGAGATATACTTGTCAGTTACTGTGGTGCGCCTAATTTTTGCCCAGGAATGCGTGACATTTCCCTTTCAGTGACATTTTTCGATACCCTAACATAAGTGATTTCAGAGACCGAGTTAAATGGAAAGAGAAATGTTTTAATGTCGAGGAAAAGGTTGTGGTTATTCA